CCGCCCCATTTCGGCACACCCCTCACACGTTCGTGGCCCCATAGGGAGCTCCACCGAGGGCCCCAGTGGCTGCGTTGCATGGCGGCACCGCACCCATTCGGCGCACCCCTCACACGTTCGTGGCCCCATAGGGAGCTCCACCGAAGGCCCCAGTGGCTGCGTTCGCACCCATTTCGGCACACCCCTCACTCGTTTCGTGGCCCCATAGGGAGCTCCACCGAGGGCCCCAGTGGCTGCGTTCGCATGGCGGCACCGCACCCATTTCGGCACACCCCTCACACGTTTCGTGGCCCCATAGGGAGCTCCACCGAGGGCCCCCGTGGCTGCGTTCGCATGGCGGCACCGCGCCTACTTCGGCACACCCCTCACACGTTTCGTGGCTTCAAAGGAGGTCCACCGAGGGCTCCAATGGCTGCGTTCGCATGGCGGCACCGCGCCCATTTCGGCACAAGGACCCACTGGGTGTGGCCTTCGTGGGCCCCATAGGGAGCTCCACCGAGGGCTCCAGTGGCTGCGTTCGAATGGCGGCACCGCGCACATTTCGGCACACCCTTCACACGTTTCGTGGCCCCATAGGGAGCTCCACCGGGGGCCCCAGTGGCTGCGTTCGCATGGCGGCACCGCACCAATTTTGGCACACCCCTCACACGTTTCGTGGCCCCATAGGGAGCTCCACCGAGGGCCCCCGTGGCTGCGTTCGCATGGCGGCACCGCATCCATGTCGGCACACCCCTCACACGTTTCGTGGCCCCATAGGGAGCTCCACCGAAGCCCCCACTGGCTGCGTTCGCATGGCGGCACCGCACCCATTTCGGCGAGGGAGCTCCACCGAGGGCCCCCGTGGCTGCGTTCGCATGGCGGCACCACGCCCATTTCGGCACATAGGTAGCTCCACCGAGGGCCCCAGTGGCTGCGTTCGCATTGCGGCACCGCACCAATTTCGGGACACCCTTCACACGCTTCGTGGCCTCACAGGGAGCTCCACCGAGGGCTTCAATGGCTGCGTTCGCATGGCGGCACCGCGCCCATTTCGGCACACCCCTCACACGCTTCGTGGCCCCATAGGGAGCTCCACCGAGGGCTCCAGTGGCTGTGTCGCATGCCGGCACCGCGTTCATTTCGGCACACCCTTCACACGTTTCGTGGCCCCATAGGGAGCTCCACCGAGGGCCCCCGTGGCTGCGTTCGCATGGCGGCACCGCACCAATTTCGGCACACCCCTCACACGTTTCGTGGCCCCATAGGGAGCTCCACCGAGGGCCCCAGTGGCTGCGTTCGCATGGCGGCACCGCACCCATTTCGGCACACCTCTCACACGTTTCGTGGCCCCTTAGAAAGTCCCCTCCCATTCGTTCAACCTGCTTTGCGGCATTCGTAACTGCATATGGTTGGGTCCATCGCCAGGGCATTTTTTTGACAAGCTGTCGCAATTATTTTGGGCGGGCGCGGTGCTGAGATAACGCGCCGTGCGCGGCGGGGGCGACGCCCTCGGGCGCGCGACCCCGCGCGACGGCCGGGATGCAACAATTTTTCAACAGGGGTGGCAATGCAAATCGTATAGGACAAGGATGATGCAGATCATGAAAATTAGCCTGGCGAAGGACCCAACCATATGCAGCTGCGAGTACCGCAAGGATACCAGTGTCAAGCTCCCCCCGACCTTCGGTGGAGATCCCTATGGGGCCACGAAACGTGTGAGGGGTGTGCCGAAATGGGTGTTGGGGAGTGCCGAGATGGGTGGTGGGGAGGCATGCGAACCCTGCCACTGGCCTTCGGTGGAGCTCCCTATGGGGCCACGAAACGTGTGAGGGGTGTAGGTGGTGGGGAGGCATGCGAACCCTGCCACTGGGGCCTTCGGTGGAGCTCCCTATGGGGCCACGAAACGTGTGAGGGGTGTGCCGAGATGGGTGGTGGGGAAGGCATGCGAACCCTGCCACTGGGGCCTTCGGTGGGGCTCCCTATGGGGCCACGAAGCGTGTGAGGGGTGTGCCGAAATGGGTGGTGGGGAGGCATGCGAACCCTGCCACTGGGGCCTTCGGTGGAGCTCCCTATGGGGCCACGAAGCGTGCGAGGGGTGTGCCGAGATGGGTGGTGGGGAGGCAGCGAACCCTGCCACTGGGGCCTTCGGTGGAGCTCCCTATGGGGCCACGAAACGTGTGAGGGGTGTGCCGAAATTGGTGGTGGGGAGGCATGCGAAC